ATGTCAAAAGAAAGGAAACACTAACAAGACTAACAATATTTCACAAAAGGGGTGACAAAACCAAGCAGATTCGGCTAAGAGAGCCATGAAAACTCTGGCCACAGCATGGAAAAAGGAGTACTGCAAAAAACACGCTAGTGAAAAACTGCAAAGTACACGACAAACAAACGCTTAAATGAACGAACGGAATTCAGTCCGCGACACTATGTCAAGACATATACAGACGACAAATTAATCCAGCCCTTTTTTTGCCTGTGGGCAGATATAAGCACCCTATTTACAAGCATGGTTCAGTTAAATGGATCAATTGCATGCTCGTCTATTATTCAACAGATAAAATACAGTTTGAAGGGAAGGAGGAGCACTCCGTTCAACTCTGTAAAGAACTCATTCACGAACGAACTTATCAATTCGCGTTGATTCGCAACAAGACAGAGAATCAAGGTGTAAATGTTGACCCAAAAATCTGTCAACTCACTTGGGGAATCGATTTAGTAGTTCCAGAACCCAAGCCCAAGGTATAAAAGTTGAATTCAAGGCAAGTACGGTCAACCTCGGAAATAATGATGCTGGGGCGAGAACGTTGTTTTCGATAGCAGTTCGAATGGGTGGGGCACACTAGTAGATGGACAGAAGGCAAGAAAGGTTGACTGACCCACATGCTAAGACCCCTAGAAGTGATATTCACGGTGAAAGTGGTCCCGAATACAATTTTATAGTTCTTCAGTGTCCGAAACCAATTTTCCACGAGATAGTGGCATAACTCAATGAAATCTGGCTTACCAATTGACACACAAGGCAAGGAAAGAACAGCGACTCTGTGCAATGTAATGAACTAAGCCGTAACCTAAAGCTCGGTGACAACCAAGATCTATCAGTTTACACCTGGACAAATGAGTAAAATTAAGGCTTGTAGATCGTTGGTAATGACAAACCAAATTAACAGTTCGATTCCCAGTTATCGTGAGAGAAAAACATACACAGATGGACTGGTGCAAGGACTGGTGGACACGGAACTCCACTGAAAAAATCTAGCGCTTTTGGCCGTGCATTAGTGTGCGTAACTAGGCAAGCGAATACACCATTCGGGGTTTACGTATAAGGTAGCTGTGACATGGAGTAAAGTCTGACGAACACAGCTGGACTACTCTGGTAACCTAGAGCCATCCATCACTACCTTGCCGTTAGGCTCTCAAACCAAAGGATTAGGTTATGGACCTTAACCGTTCTCTCGTATAGATATGAAACATTATGAGGGTATTTCGGTCCACACATGACCATGAAACGCGCAAACGAAATCATCTTTGTATCGCATCGCCGTCACGTGATTTCAGCCGGGTCGACTTATTCACTCTACACACTGAAGTAGATAAGCGAAAGCATGTGAAAGTCTTCACATAATAAATACTTTCGGATAGGTTTAAGCTGCCAGCATGTCCACCGGGAAACCGAGAAAGCGAACAAGCGTACACCAGCGACAGTACTGAGGCTTCAAGTCCTCTACTTTTATCGCATCCTTAAACACTCAAACTCCTGCACCAATAGGTACCCTATCGAGAAAATCAGCTCGGGGTTCTGAGGTCTGAATATAGGATCCTAGTACAGCAAATGAATTTCCGACACCGTTAACTGGATGCTATCGACGGTGAACTTCGGCTGACTGCATTTGTTGCCGAGTTGCACTGGTTCAAGAGTTGGTTCTTCCTTACCCGAATGGATACTTATGAATAGCAAACTTTATGCCATCCGACCGTTCACTTCAATAAGAATTCGCACTGGTTGCAAAGGCTAACCGCTCCTATACTTTCCAACTCTCCTCGGTATTTCTAGACAGATCGAGTAAGTTATTCTCTTTACTAGTCTTGGCGGTTACATAAGCTAAATAAAAATAAACGACAGTTCAGCTCTGGCACCTCTTTGGTGTCTAACTGCCACGTCACCCCGAGGAAGCAAGAAGGCTGAGATACCGCTAAGGTTTGCAAGTCTAGAGGGGAGCAGTCGCGATGTCGGGGTGGTTTCGAACCAGAGACCTTCCAGTCAGTAGGTTGACGCCTTAACCACCGAACCCTCTCGAGCTCTACAGAAGCTGCGACACTACTGTGATAGAACTCGGTGCAAGCAACAACAATACAGTACTTGCAAACTTGTGCCTGTCAGCACAATTTGTACGAGACAGTTGCGGTTACCAGATTTCTCCTCTGCAATCTACATGTGCTCCACATATTTCAGCACTGATGCCCTCGCAAAACAGCGGGAGTTGTCCGGCCAGCAACATTAGTGCACGAGCGAACGATTCGTAATAGACTGAAATCGCTAGAGCAACAAGCGTGTCTCAGCAGGGTAGGGTAAAGAGAAAATTGACTATATACGCCCAAGTGCCGAATAACAAAGAAGGTATAAATTTCCATTCAAAATCATTGTTGGCGAAATGTTCGTGGGGAGCAGGCTACTTTACAATGTTGGTTTTTTGCTTGAGGGTTATTTGGTCGGGCGAGCAAAGCTAGACAAATGGTCCAGATGTCCTAAATGGTCCAGCATTGTCCTCCCTCACCTACAAAAGGCACATAATTGACCTGGATGACGCTACAGGGAGGCTCTGACTAGGATTTGATGGATCCTTTTCAACAGTTGATGGATCGTTTACACGTGGGCATCGGAAGGAGCTGCATAAGTTCAGAAGACTGCATATGTCGACCAACAGCTTGCCGGAAGGAGTTAGGTACGCGAGAACAGAGCCAAATTATAAAAAAACGAATAATAAATTTCAGGCCCAAAAGACCGATGGATACTGCTCTTGTTTTCGCAATCCACCTGGAACCCGATGATCTTTGAGGAATAGTTCCACTCTAGTGGAGTGGAAAATGATGTAACTTTCGGCGGACTATCCTTCGCTGTCCTTGACTCGACTGACTGGCTAATCGACCGACTGAGGTGCTTGAGTTTCTTGACCGGTTCACACATCTTGGAAGCCAAATAAGCTGTGACTGTACCTTAAAGGATGGAGTTAGTGTAAACAACATCGAGACAGGGTAAGCCTGTGATAAATTTGGTCAACTTTACAGTCACAGACGAATTTTGCCGAGGCTAATCTACCGTATACAGAAGGCAGTGGCAAGAGCAGTTCTCAGTTGTCTGCGAAAATTGGCTGTCTCCGATCGCAGTGCTTCCAAAATTTGGTCGCCGGTGACTCCGAAGCATAAGAAGAGTTAGCTGGCCATCTCCTGTACCAGGGCGGATCAGTGGGTACACCGCTAGAGTGGCAAATAAAACGTATCATATTAGGGTGGTTGGAACATGTGGTACGCATACTCAACCATGGTCCACCAAAGAAAGCATGGTTTTCCGTCCCGAATCACTGTTGGAAAAAAGTTCGCTGCAAGTACGGCATGAAATAACGTGGCTTCAATTGAACTATGGGATCGCCTCCATCCTCATCGCGCCTTCCTGACTGGGGTTCACCTGATCTTCCTTGCACACGGCTACAAACTCTACGAAAAATGGCGGACTGCATGTTTCTCGTCGTGCTTAGGTTTGTGTCGGGAATGGTTTGCAATGGACGATACGGTAATTTCGTTGATAACTTCCTCCTCTCATATGACCCACACAGGTGTTCATCACAATGTTGTTAGAAGATGCCGGTAACCCGCTCTTGATTGTTGGTCTCGAAAATATCAACCCGTCTAGCATCACCACTGCGCAGCTTTCCGCTCTTTAATGAGGATTTTTTCCCGATCGTCGTATGACAGTGGTACTATATGATAGTGGCATAAGCGATGATTCCGCCTACATCAGTGTACAGTCCTTTATTCATTAAAAAATATTGCTTGGTAAAGAGGTCTCTACGACAACCAGGTGGAACATGGTTTGTACTGAACACACATTTTGTTTCACTTGTTCACCTGTCACAACACTCGCCCAGTTTCATCATTAATTATGATGCTTCACTGCCGTACCATCCTGTTAATTTGTTTGAGTAAAGGAAGAAAAAAGGACAGGGAAGGGAAAACAGAACTAGCCTATCACGGACAGTGCTTCAAACACTGGGTCAAATATTTTAGATAGAACGTGAAATCATGAACGCTAACGGCATTAAATGGTTACCATATCCTTGCGTGTATTGAATCAAGCACAGACAGGACCACGTAGGCGTAATCCTGGAAGGTGAACAGCGCCTATCTTTTCGTCACATCATCCATCCTCTTCTGCTAATTCGTCTTCTATCCACCTCGAAGTTTCCACCGTTCTTAATTAGGCACTGAAAACACCTTCCTACTCGGCAGACGCCAACTTGGGATGAATGCATCATGGTCCAGCCATCTTAGTTTGTGCTGCTGGATGCATTATCTGAGTGAAGTAGGTCTGTGATTTGGTGTAGGGGCAAGTATCCATACAACCCTCGAGCAATCCAAACATTAAGAATGTTGTCGACACTTTTAAGTAGAAACTGAGGCTAGATGGAGTGGTTATTGATGTGACGAATCGAGAAGCTCTGATTGGCATCATCAGCGAACCGTGTACATTTTATGCAGCCTCTAACTGCCAGATTTTCGCTCACTAATGAAGAGAGAATCAAGATTGGTCAGGAACATCATAATGAAAAAACAAAGACGACGAATTTCTAGGTCACAAGTTCATTGATCCATAAAGAACAGTGTGATGAAGAGACCTCATCATAACCTCGAGCTAAGCAGTGACATCTTCACGCTTCGGCACCAGTGGACTTATGCACGTGGCATTCCCGCTTCATCCCTCATCATACGATTGCACCGGCGTAGACAAGTCAACCCTAGCCTTAATCTGGCCTGTTCCATCTCACGAAGCATGCTAAGGTGTGCATTACCGTGTCGGTAGCCAATTAAAGCAAGCGCTCATGCTTGGTCCATCACATTACTAAACTCAGTCTACAAGTGAAACCGCCTGATTGTGGCTTCTGCGCAAGGTTGCGATTAGGCCTGTCTGCGCCTGGCATCACATGACAGCCCAGAAGGAATAGGCATATACACAGACCATGGACAATCAATGATTTCCAAGTACCATCATCTGAGTCAGAACGACATAATCATGAAATTGGTGCACATCCCTGACCAATGTCGGTAATTCACATGGATAAAGGGCAGAGGAGTAGGAGATATGTGACATTCAGGGAAATAGAGTCACAACTGCACGTCACCTATTGGACGTTGGTGGTAGAAACATACATTCCAGGGTCGCAATAGTGACGGTGACTCCACAGCTTTCGACGTGGCACTTTGGATGCACTCAGCAGAAATTTATTGAAACGGATTTGGCAATAAAAATCGAGACGGGTAAATCGGATGAAGACATCAGTCTTGACAAGTATTAAGGTAGGTTCACGAAGATACATAAGTGGTGTCAGTGTTTTTGAAGTCCGCCTTTGAATGCAGCACGAAGAAGGACATTCGGAAGCCTTCTCAAGATTTTGCAGAATGTGAAAAACTGAGGAAGAACCAAAGTTATTGGCATGATGATAAGAACAATCGTTGTGCACTGAAAAAATAACGTACTGAGGATCTGATTGGCTGATATTATACAAAAACCCTATCAACATTTCCGAGTAGGAGGCTTGTTAAACCTAGACCTTGTTTTAACGCCACCCTCACTAAGTGGTAAATTTTCTGGAAAAAACGAAGGGTAAAATGCATAATGCCATCAGGACATATGAGCCCGATACAAATACAGCAGTGTAAGTAAATCACCTTTTTTATAAAATGCTCGTCAAATTCGACGGGTCCGTCTAGTTGTGTCTTCTTTATCTCGCAACTTGTTTCCTTATTGTTCACAGGAAGGGAATAATTTTCTCGATTCTCGTCCATTTGTCCATTATCTAAGGAAACTGCATCCCGCGAATTTCGTCTTGGAGTTTCGTACAGCATGAAACGAAGAATCGGGCTACCACTAGGTGAATGTCTGACTGGATGAGCGGTTATGTCGATTGGATCGGATTGATCCATGACGTCCTCATTTTCGCCGCTTTGGCTGTCTGGTCTGATGCGCTGTAGTTCTGCTTCCGCATTGGGTCCAAGAGGATTCTGGCTCAGGTTCAATGACTCCAAGTTTTTGAGGCAACGCAACAGGATGAAAATCTGCAAACAGATAAAGGCCGAGAAAGGCTGTCGTTTAGACATAATTTCAACTGGTGGTAGAAATAAACCAATGTGGAAAAACAGTGCTCTTTTAGAAGCCAGCGAAAATTTCACAGTGCAACTAGCTGTGCCAACTCAAGTGAAGCACACCGTATATGGGGAAACTAGCCAAGCTACCTTGTTCTCCGTTACTAGTAGAGTGTCCCAGCCGGTAGAACTGCGGAACTTCCACTAGTACGAAAGTTCCACTATGTCGAATCTATGTACATCAACTCTAAAAAAGCAATGTAAAGTTACGCATTGCAATGCCACTTAAGGCTACAGAGAGTGGAACAAAACTAAAGGTTCTGCTCCATATTTCTATCGGAGCAGTCAGGTAATCACATAACTCAACCACGACCACGAAACTATATCAATGAGGTAGATCGTATGTGACGGAACTACGAAGTGGCCAACCCTCACCCAACGGTTGGAAGATGAGTCAGGGAAAAGTAGACCGAAATTACACCACTTGGCAAACGGACAGCTACTAGCCGATTCACGTCCAAGGGCATATGCTAGCAATCCCTTCCTCGACGCTAATGTTGTTCATGAACAAAATGGCTGCAGCTGGAGCCATCACTAGACCCGTACAGTGTTTGTAACTGGGCCGTTTGCGAAGTAAACAGGTCTAGTGACGAGTAGGACAAACTGATAAACATCTGGCAGTAACTTTTCAAGGCGCTTATTGTTATAACGGAGAGCAATCTTCCTATACCTTGTAAATCCAAGTAAGATCGGCGAGTCGTCAGGGCAACACGGTTACCGGTAACATAAGTGGCAACCTAAGAGATGATTATGTGTCGTTCGTCCCAGCTGATTGCTATCGAGAAGTCTATGTATTTTCCATGGCTCATGAGTCGTTTGCTAAGCGGCCGAAATTTAACCTGATGGTACGAAAACGGTCATAGGTTAAAAGGAAATGAGGTAATCATTGCTATCTATGCCAGATATCGCTGCTCGTAATCAAAGGTTTCCAAGTTTCCAGTGAGGTAATTAGTTCACTTGAGGCCAATTAGAGGTAATAAGTGAAGTTGGTTTGTCTTTGAAATTACAGATTTACACCTTATTGTCCGTAAAGCCCTATATGGTTAGAAACCCCTTAAGACGCCAGCCAAACCTCTCGTTTATGAGGGTCTTTTTCAACTGAGTGTGCTGCACAAGGCCGCCTCATGTTCCATATTTGAGATGTCGCAGTACACTGTCTAGGCGTAACACACTACTCATGGGGTTGCTGAAAACGTTTCGACAGCCCACGATGAGATCCACTAGATTCAGTTGAGTCACCCATCAAAACTTAATTAGTATTTGACGAGGTCCAGTAAGCTGTTTACGACAGTCCTTCCCTAAGAATATGTGATCTCCTGTCACACGGAACTCACAACACATACGGGAAATAGCCCCGACGAGGAAGATGGATTCTTATGAATATTTCTTACGGCAATGAATATCAGATGATTTAGTGACAAGTGTATCACTGAAAGTTCATTGAACAGTGCTTATCCTTCGTACCACCCATAAATACGAAATTATGTTTCAGTTCACACGCAAGTTTTCACATGTTTCTGTGTGACTTGTTGCACCTTGCTGAGGTCAGTGACCAGTTTAACCATCTCAACGGGCCGAATTCAGGTGAGGCCTTTACATCAGACGAAGGTTCAGTTGTGAGAAGAAAGCCAGCCCTCATTGCCACTGTCAGCATCATGAATAGTGAATACCGTATGGTCACGAGAAGAAGACCGATCACTCAATACTTTTGCATATGTTAATGAGAGAGGTCAGCCCAAAGGGGTGAATCAGCACGACTGGATCAATATCAATGATCGTATCATGCCTGAACTCATGTCTCACACTTATCATGGCCTTCAGCGTCTGTACATGAAGTTCCAGTACAGGTATGGCGCGCGCGTCTTGGGCCAAATAAGCAGTCAAACGAAATCCTGCAGATGTGGCGAAACAGAGTATCAGTAATGCTGATGAGAAACAACGTATCATGAAATCAGCCAAATAATGAAAGATAGCAACTGAAAGATCCAAAGGAATCTCCCGTTTATGGTGTTCTTCTTCAACTGAATGTGCTGCACCAGGCCACCCCGTGTTCCGATTCGCCAGTACCGCAGTACACTGTACAGACGTGACACGCTACTCATAAGGTTGCTGAAAACTTATAGATAGCTCACTAGTACTTTTGCCCTGCGTCTATACAATGTACTGTGATACTAAAGTATCGTACCAACTGAAACATGAGGAGCGCACTGTTAATGATTCCCAATAAGGATACCTAAATTTTTCGCTCTTCGAGTGATTCACAGACTGATCAGTGTGCGCCGTGCATTCTAAGGTTTGTGGTTCGACAAAGTTTCTTTACGAATAACGCGGCAGTATTCAGTGATTAACCGGACCCAACAGCAAATTGGGCGTGACGTTGAACCCGCTGGTAGAACTGATAATTTTTCCCACACTCAGGTGTTTGTTATCTTCAGCTGAACAAGGGTAGTATCAGAACTATACCCCCAGGAATTTTTCACATAGAGCAACAAGTTGAATCTCGGAGATAAGCAGTGTGACAAGACGGCTGGCGACGTTATCGACCGCCCTGGCTAATTGGGTCAAACACGGATTTCCGAACAGACCGGAATGAGTCACTCATGCAGCTGGTGGCAGCCCTACAAAGGGAAACGTGCCGTGGATAGTTAAGTGACTGTGCGTTGTTAGGATGGCGAACAATGTGTCAACAAAAGAGTTGGGATAAACTCCAAAAAGGCGACGGATAGTGGAAGTAAGGAAAACTAAACTGGATTGACACCTTAGTAATGAGATTTTAGTGTAGCTAATCAAAATGTAAATACGACCAGCCTGTTTACCGGAACACAATTTCAGATTAAGACAGGATGCAGGGGAATGATAAAGCGAATATACAGTGGTGCTGTGAGTACAAAGTATTTCGTCCGACAAACTTTAGCCACATAGTGCCTCTAGATCGACCGTTGGGAGCATGTGAAATGCAGGGAGCATCAGATATAGTTGAAAGGTGAAAACAAAAGTCACTTCTGCGGAGAGAGAGACAATTCCTTCCACTTTCCAGGATGGATGCAGGGCAAAGTTGTACTGTGGTAGACAATACAAATGATGTCCAGGAAGAGATGCTTTGCATAGAAAACTCCGAGAACAATTCGCCGTCTCATTTTTTATTGCATGACAGCCAGTCTGTTACATACGGCGGAACATGATGTTGAGAGACTTCCCACAAGCAGCTGCTGATAAGTTTCCTTTGTTGAGGCATTCTTGTGGATGACTAAACAAGACAATACTGACTCAACCAAGTGGTTTGCCGTGGCGAAGTATGAGTGGGGGCACCTCCAAGAAGGCTACTGATGCAGACTAAATAGGAGAATAAATTAGACCTCCAAAGACACTTGGCTTGGTTGTGGTAACAAAGAAAACCAAAAACGTTCCCAGTAGCTGTAGACCTTCAACTAATCTGCACCGTGGTGGCATGCGCGTGCTGCAACCGCGCCCGTGGGCTGAGATGAAAAACCTTCGACCTGCCCGACAGGAGTGCATATGAACAAATAGCTTATCGGAGACAGATAAACAGTGATCGCTTTGTTCCGCTTGGTATGTACGTCAGAGCATATGCAAACTTCGTTCTTTCGGCTATATAAGTTAAGTGGGTTGTGGCTACGACAAAATAATATGGCCGCTAAGTTTTTCCAGGCACGACGTTCGCAATTTAGCTCACAGATACCCTTAGTATATGTGAACACATCGAAACAACATTCACATGGCAAATTTGTAGTTCCTCTGGAGTCTTTGCAGACAAACAATTCGCAGAAAATTGGAAAAATGAACGTGCGCACCCTGGTCTTCGAGGTCGGCTTGTTATCGATTTGCTAAGTAAGACTCTTTCGTGTGACGATCAGATCTTTCTGAGTCGAAGCGGACTAGAAATAGTGAGAGTAAAACTCATTTCGAAGTATGCGCTCGTCATCCATCACTGAGTATGCTTTTTCAACTGGACCTTGGTATAATTTCATCTGCATCCATGTTTCTTAAGGTACCTCACAAAACCAAGCGTAAGCGTAGGAGCACACCCAACGACACGAATCTATCGTCCTTGATGTCTTAAATAAACATAATTTTAACGTCAGCTCGGATGACCTATTTCAGTACATGTATCATTCAGGAGTCGGCCAGTGAAATCCCATCCATCTTTCAAATTTTCTTGCTTTCAGCCGCAAAACACTGACTGAGGCTAACACTCAACAGGGTGGTAACGCCGAGCAATCAGCAACTGGTAGTGTACTAAGTTTAACGTCACATGCAACAAGGAGCATGACCATGTTGGTAATTGTGCGGCTAAGTTGCTAGAATGAACTTTGCCCAAGGCCAAAGGATAGTCAATCCCCATTCGCTTGAAATATGCTATGCTAGGCAGAAAGACGAAGGAGTCTCTTTGTAAGACACAAAAATGACGAGGAAACATGAACAGCCGACTACCGCTTCCGTCTCTTTTGGGACTTCGTATCTAGTACCCAATCCTCGAAGACTCAATTTGAAATAAACAGGGACCATGAGTAAGGTCCACGGGTCCAAGGGTCACGTACATTCAGTACTAGGAGAGTGTGATGTATACAAGGGGCATGTGGAGCGAATGCAAACGTCGCTTAGTCTGACTTACCAGCGTCACAACAACCATATTACGGGTCTCCGAAGGATGATTTCACTCACGTTTTTCTCGCGACAATAGGAATAAGTATGGTAACTACACAAAGGCTGATGAAGCAGGTTGTCTTCTATCCCAGTGATTTCTCTTGTGCTGTTTTGCCCACTACAACTGTTGCTGATACAGTTATGACGTCTTTCGTCGCGCAACAGGTACATTTAGAAGTACAGTGTGGGATATACATCTTCCGCAACAAAGTACCATATTTTCGGTAGCTACTTGAGAAGGCGTGGCC